GGATGGAGACAAGGTAAGAATGTCAAAAAAAAAAAAAACCTTACCCTAGTAACAATCCTAATCAGAAGTAGGTGAATTCTGCATGGCATGTAACTGTGGCTGTCCTTTTAACCAGCAGGCTACTTTCATGAAACTTTCATTTTAGTTCCCTATGCCTGTGGATAGCCCACTGAGAGAGGCCTTCTTTAGTGTTGTCATAAATGATTACTTTCCTTGGTAACCGAGACAAGACACAACATGCACATTGATTCATCAACCCTATAAGTACAGCTCCCTCCCAAATTGTAATCTCTTCCTGGAGCTATGAAAAAGTTTTCTCTGTAAGCCTCAATTTCCTTATCTGTAAAGTGGAGATATTAATTGCCACTCACCCAGGGCCAGACATTCTGGAGTGTGAAGTCAAGTGGGCCTTAGGAAGCACTGCTGCCAGTAAAGCTAGAGGAGGTGATGGAATTCCAGCAGAGCTATTCAAAATCCTAAAAGATGATGCTATCAAAGTGCTGCACTCAACATGTCAGCAAATTTGGAAAACGCAGCAATGGCCACAGGACTGGAAAAGGTCAATCCTCATCCCAGTTCCCAAGAAGGGCAGTACTAAAGATTGTTCAAACTACCGAACAATTGCACTCATCTCCCATGCTAATAAAGTGAAGTGAAGTGAAGTGAAAGTCACTCAGTCATATCTGACTCTGTGACCCCATGGACTATATAGTCCATGAAATTTTCCAGGCCAGAATACTGGAGTGGGTAGCCTTTCCCTTCTCCAGGGGATCTTTCCAACCCAAGGATCAAACTCAGGTCTCCGGCATTGCAGGCAGATTCTTTACCAGCTGAGCCACAAGGGAAGCCCCATCCTGCATGCTAGGCTTCAGCATTATGCGAACCAAGAACTTCCAACATTCAAGCTGGGCTTAGAAAAGGCAGAGGAACCAGAGAACAAACTGCCCACATTTGCTGGATCATAGAGAAAGCAAGAAAATTCTAGAAAAACATCTACCTCTGTTTCACATAAAGCCTTTGACTGTGTGGATCATAAAAAAATAAAAAATAAAAATTTAAAAAACCTGTATAAAACTCTTAAAGAGATGGGAATACAAGACCATCTTCCAGTCTCCTGAAAAACCTGTATGTGGATCAAGAAGCAAGTTAGAACTTTCTATGGCACAACTGACTGTTTCAGGATTGAGAAAGGAGTACCATATGCTGTTTATTATCACCCTGTTTATTTAACTTACATACAGAGCACATCATGAGAAATGCTGAGCTGGATAAGTTACAAGCTGGAATCAAGATTGCTGAGAGAAATATCGACAACCTCAGATATGCAGATGGTACCACTCAAATGGCAGAAAGTAAAGAGGAACTAAAGAATCTCTTGATGAGGGTGAAGGAGGAGAATGAAAAGCTGGCTTAAAACCCAATGTTAAAACAAACAAACAAACAACTAAGATCATGGCAACCGATCCCATCACTTTATGGCAAATAGAAGGGGAAAGGGTGGAGGAAGGGACAGATTTCCTTTTCTTGGGCTCTAANTGAGAGTCCCTTGGACTGCAAGATCAAACTAGTCAATCTTAAAGGAAATCAACCCTGAATACTCATTGGAAGGACTGATGCTGAAGTTGAAGCTCCAATATTTTGGCCACCTGATGTAAACAGACAACCCATCAGAAAAGAGCATGATACTGGGAAAGATTGAAGGCAGAAGGAGAAGAGGGCAACAGAGGATGAGATGGTTGGATAGCATCATTGATTCAACAGACATGAACTCAGGCAAACACCAGGAAATGGTTAGGGACAGCCAAGACTGGCATGCTGCAGTCTGTGGGGTTGCAAAGAGGTCGTCATGATCTGGGAACTGAACAACGACATTTGTTCCTGCCTCAGAGGGTTATACAGATAACAGTTGACATATATAAAGTGTTTAGAATATTGCTTGTCATACAGTAAGTGCTCAGTAGGTATTAGCTATTATTTCTTGATCATTAATACCCACAACAGGTGGGTTTATTCTTTAGTTCTGAAACAATAATTATATCAGAATATTATCAGCATATTGGCTTACTTGATCTTGTGTGGCAGGATGAGAAAATCTGTTGGCCAATCCATGACAAGCTAAGCCAAAAAGAAGTTAGTCTTTTCCCAGTCTTGCTTTCATATAGAATGACCTCAAGGATCAAGCCTCAAAGCCCATTCTTGCTGATTTCCCATCCCATGGTCTCCTATTTCAGGTGATAGGTGGATGCGTGTGTGTTCAGTTGTGTTCGACTCTTTGTGACCCCATGTACTGTAGTCCACCAGGCTGCTATGTCCATGGAATTTTCCAAACAAGTATACTGGAGTGTGTTGCTGTTTCCTTTTCTAGGGGATCTTCCTGACCCAGGGATCAGATCCACGTCTCTGGCATCTCCTGCATTGCAGGTGTATTCTTTACACGAGCATCACCTGGGAAGCCCACTTTAGGTGAAGAGCTACTCAAATAAAAGCTAGTGCTTTCTCTCTCTCACAGACACACACATTCTCACTTGCATAGACACATACATGTATATAAGATTTGCAAAACAAAAATTACAGACACAAGCTATTTGTACCAGGAAAAGGAAATCTCCCCACACAATCAAGTCTTAGAGCTGCAGCTCTGCCTCACCCTCCCATAGGATTTCCTTTACCAATTTTTATTAAGACTCTCAGGCTACAAGCGCTGCATTTAAAAAATAGTTTTCCTTAAGGAAAATTGAAGGTTATCTCTGCGTTATGAGACAGGTCTTAAAGGATACATTTGGGTATGTTTCCCCCATCAAACAAGGGACAGTCTTTTCTAAAAGTACATTCAAGTCTCAGTTCAGTTCAGTTCAGTTGCTCAGTCATGTCCGACTCTTTGCCACCCCATGAACCACAGCACACCAGGCCTCCCTGTCCATCACCAACTCCCAGAGTTTATCCAAACTCATGTCCATTGAGTCCGTGATGCCATCCAACCATCTCATCCCCTGTTATCCCCTTCTCCTCCAGTCCTCAATCTTTCCCAGCATCAGGGTCTTTTCCAATGAGTCAACTCTTCGCATCAGGTGGCCAAAGTATTGGAGTTTCAGCTTCAACATCAGTCCTTCCAATGAACACCCAGGACTGGTCTCCTTCAGGATGGACTGGTTGGATCTCTTTGCAGTTCAAGGGACTCTCAAGAGTCTTCTCCAACACCATAGTTCAAAAGCATCAATTCTTCAGTGCTCAGCTTTCTTTATAGTCCAACTCTCACATCCATACATGACCACTGGAAAAACCATAGTGTTGACCAGGTGGAACTTTGTTGGCAAAGTAATGTCTCTGCTTTTTAATATGCTATCTAGGTTGGTCATAACTTTCCTTCCAAAGAGTAAGCATCTTTTAATTTCATTGCTGCAATCACCATCTGCAGTGATTTTGGAGCCCAGAAAAATAAAGTCAGCCACTGTTTCCACTGTTTGCCCATCTATTTGCCATGAAGTGATGGGACTGGAGGCCATAATCTTAGTTTTCTGAATGTTTAGCTTTAAGAGAACTTTTTCACTCTCTCTTTCACTTTCATCAAGAGGCTCTTTAGTTCTTCACTTTCTGCCATAAGGGTGGTGTCATCTGCATATCTGAGGTTATTGTTATTTTTCTCCCGGCAATCTTGATTCCAGCTTGTCCTTCCTCCAGGCCAGCGTTTCTCATAATGTACTCTGCATATAAGTTAAATAAGCAGGGTGACAATATACAGCCTTGACATCTCAACCTCTCATAAAATAAAAAGTGCTCTCAGCTTGTGAATAAATATAATTTAAAAAAAAAAACACTTTACCGTTGAATTTCAGACAGAATTGTAAAATACAGAGAAAGCTTGCTAACATATTCTCAGGATCCTTTTTAGGACAATTGTATTATTTCATGTTTCAAATATTTCCCTCAAAGTTATTAAAACATGAAACATAAGCAGAAGACCTTTATGTTTGCCTTATTTGTGCTTCTATTCTTTGAGATTCTTAACAACTGTGAATTCTTAAGGATAGGGAATGATTACCTGGGGAGCCCAGTGTGATAGCCATTTGTACAGAAAAGTGAAAGTCATTCAGTCCTGTGATTCTTTGTGACCTAATGAACAATACAGTCCATGGAGTTCTCTAGGCCAGTATACTAGAGTGGGTAGCTGTTCCCTTCTCCAAGGAATCTTCCCAACCGAGNGTGAAAGTCATTCAGTCCTGTGATTCTTTGTGACCTAATGAACAATACAGTCCATGGAGTTCTCTAGGCCAGTATACTAGAGTGGGTAGCTGTTCCCTTCTCCAAGGAATCTTCCCAACCGAGGAACCAAACTGGGGTCTCCTGCATTGCAGGTGGATTCTTCACCAGCTGAGCTACCAGGGAAGCCCTTACTTGTACAGAGGGACCTGGGAACAAGTCGCTTCGGCCACACTGATGGCCACCGTGCAGCAGGTGTTGATGGCCTCAGGCATCACCTGTGGCTTTAGGGTAGAAGAAACAGTTGGAGATGATGTTAGATGGGACCAGAATCCTGTTGTAAATGCCTAGGTTTGGTGCAAATGGAGAAAAGAGGTAGATTTTCATTAGTACTTTTTTCCAGATGAATTGTTATTTAGTGAGCCATCAGTTGTTACCTATGTGCTCACTAAAACTTCAGTAAGTTCTAGAGTAACTAAGGCAGAAGGTACTATTGGCTCACTGGCCCAAACATAATTTACAGGGAATAAGTCAACTTATATATGATTATATGAGGTCCTAATCATTGATAAAAATTAAAAAAAAAATCAGTGGCAGCATGCATATGCCTTTCTCACTGTGATTTCCTACATATTTTTCAAGGTGAATATGCCAAACTCAGAAAAAATAGAAAATAAAGCTCATTTATCTCACAAATGGAAAAAAAGAATTTGCAAAAGCAAAAAAAAAAAAAATTCTCTTTAACTTTCTTTTTTTTTTTTTAAGAATTGGGGAGTCATTTTAATATTTACAAGGACCAAATCAGCAGAACAAGATTATATCAGATAGGCTGTGTACAGTAGCTGCGGCTTATAAAACATACCAGTAATTTGTACCTGGTGAGTATAAAGAGAACCATGGTAGGATTCAGATGTCTTTACAACCAAGGGAGTACACACGGCATCAACAAATTAGAGGACAAAAAAATTCACATTTTCTACATTAAAAAAAAAATTACAGATCTCACAAATGTCTTTGAAGACAAAAAAAAATTAAAGTCCTTTGAAGGATGGGAAAGAAGAAATCTGAAATGGAACTCTTAATGTCAAAGAGTTTTACTTCACAAGACCAATTTTCTTGGCTTCTGTTTCATATATCAATAATCTCCACATCTTGACTATAAAAACTTCTGCTTCTTCATCAAGTACCTTGGCAACATCATCTAAAATGCTCTGAGGTGAACTATGAGCCATAACCTTAGAACAAACAAAATCAATGTAGCTTCTTCTTCACCTACATATTCTATGATTTTTTTATTAATCCATGGTCTAATTCGTTGTTCCATCAATATAGAATCCACAATAGACCAATCCAGGGGATAGGCAAACAGCTCCGGCTTGGCTGTGGGGATTTTCTCAATGAGACTTTTAATGTGCTTGCGCTTTTCTTCCGTGTTTACAGTGCCTTTGGCAGCATTCTTATCATCTTCACCATAATCCAAGGGAACCAGTTTCCTTTTCCGGGGTACATCATCACTGTCTTCATCCTCAAATTTGTTAAAGACACTATCTACCGGGAGCTTCTTTCTTTTCACAGAATTAGGTTGACCAGGACTATTGGAAGCACCCAGTTTAAGACTTAGTCCTATTTTTGGCCTATGCTCTTCAAGTTGTTGTTGATCTGGTGAATTTTCGTGAGGAATAATAATACCACAGGGAGACTCATCCCCAGGAGTGTTGGGAGTTGCATTGCCGCTGGCAGAGGAGACGGATGGGGCAGAACTGATGGGCCTCAGAGTTGGTTTGAGACAAGGTTTTTGCTCTGGCTCCTCTTCTTCTTCCATGGGTTCCTCACGTTTTTCTTCTTTTTCTTGCTTTTCTTCTTCCTCTTCCTCAGATTCTGGTTCTTGCTTTATCTGTGGTTGTCTGCGCCTCTCAGCCTCTTGTTCCATCCGCTGGAGCTCTGCATCTGGATCCGGGTGCCCTTCTGCCAGAAGGCGCTGCCTGATTTCCTCCAGCTCTTCTTTCTCTTTCTTCCTATCCCGTTCATCCGCTTCCATTTCCTTTTCCCTATCACGCAATCTTTTCTGAAGAGCACTTCCTCTGTAATATTTGGGATCATCTCTATCATCATCATAGTCTTCTAAGAATTCTTTTAGTCGTTTAGCTTCTTTTGCCATTTCTCTTCTTCTTTCTTCTTCTCTTTCAGCCTCTTTTTCATACTCCCGGGTTTTCTTTCGTTCTCTGATTTCCCAATTCTTAAGGCGCTCTTGATAGGCAGCCTCCTTCTCTCGGAGCTTTCTTTCAAGTTTTCTTCGTTCATATGCATCTTCTTCGTCTTTTTCTCGATCTCGCTTCTTGTCTTTCTCTCGCTCACGCTCCTGTTCCCTTTCTCTCTCTCTCTCTCTCTCGCTCATGCTCCCGCTCTCGTTCCCGTTCTCTCTCTCTTTCTCTTTCCCTCTCCCGTTCCCTTTCACGATCTCTGCTCTTTTCTCTTGATAGACTCTGATCCTTATTCCGATCTGAGCTCCTTTCTCGATCGCGGTCCCGATCTCGCTCTCGATCCCGGTCTCGATCTCTCTCTTTCGTCCGGTCACGATCCCTATCCCGTTCTCGTTCCCGCTCCCGTTCTTTCTCCTTTTCTCGTTCACGTTCTCTTTCCCTTTCTCGTTCCCGTTTTCGCCTTTCTCGTTCCCTTTCACGCTCCCTCTCTCTTTCTCTCCGTTCTTTCTCAATTTCCTGTCTTTCTTTTTCCTTTTTGCCTTTCTCTTCTTCCAGTTTCTTGTGTGTGTCTCTGAATTTGCTGATCTCTCGAGATATTAGGTCTCTCTTGTCTTCTTCCATTTCTATAGCATTTATATCCTCCTTAGTGATGAGTGGATAAGGGATCAGTGGGGCCACGGGAAATCTACGAAAGATGTCCTCCTTCTTTTCCTTCTTCTTCTTCCTGGGGTGAGAGTCAGATTCTTCTGAGGGGGCATTGAGCTCACTGGAGTATTCCCGTATTAAAACTTCAATGGCCCCTTTGATCATCTGATCTCTTCTCTTTGTTTCTTCATCTAAGGCTTCTTCGTCATCATTAGTGACAGTTTCTGGCCTGGCATTCCCATTAGAAGCTTTCTTCTTTGCTTTCCATTCACCTAGCTGTGCCTTTGTCTTTGCATCAACTTTAACAAGTAGCTTATTCTCTCCAATCTGCAGGTCAAGCAATAACCGGAGTGCACGGAACGTAGATTCTGGTTCCTTATACTCACAGAATCCAAAGGCTTGAAGTTTTCCAGATGCACCCTGGACTCTCTTCCAGCTCAAAACCAAGCCACATTTAGCAAGGAGCTGTCTTATAAGCATGTCTGAGGCTTTCTCAGAAATGTTGCCAACAAAAATTGTAGTGGTGGGACCACAGTTTTCATCATTTTCTTTAGCCTTCAAGCCTGGATGATCCTTTCTTGCTCCCAAATGCTTTCCAACCATGGACACGGTGGGTACTAAGACAGTTGGAGCAGGAACCATAATGCTCATCGGTACAGGAATCATTGGGGTCCCTGGAGGCACGGGTGGAGGAAAGCCAGGAAACTGTGGGGGTGGGATCCCTGGTGGGAGTGCTGGGATTCCCATCAGAGGGCGATTCAAATGAGGGGGAAAAGACATTCTTACTGCAGCAGTCCGCCGCTGAGGAAACGGCACTGTCTTCGCAGTCTTCCGGGCTCCAGGTTACGAGTGGGCTCCACCAGTTCGAGATTTCTGCGCACCGCTATTCGGGAGACTGGGCCCAAAGCGCCTACTCGCACAGGCTGCAAAACACCGCCGCGCTGCACGGGGAGCTTCTGGAGGTCTTCCTAGTGCCCGGCGTGCATTGCGGCCAGGGGCGTGGCGGGGAGGATCATAGAGAAGAGCGCGTCTTTAACTTTCTTATTTACATATTCTAGACTGACTCTATGGTATATTTATTTCCAAAATGCTTTTTTCTCCTTTTATTCACTTAATGTATCTTACTGTCACAGCATTCTGTATACACAGAACTGTATATTTCTATGTATAAATTCACAGAACTATAAATACTTTTCCAGGTGCAAGACTTAAAAATTTATAATTATTCTTATACAACTAAGGTTTTGTAGTGAAATTGCTGATAAAAACATTCATTTAAAAGTACATTCAATGTACATCAATATAAATGATATAACAATGTATATTTATATCTACATAATACAATATCTGATAATGCAACATATTATAGTTGATGTGTGTGTGTGTGTGTGTGTATGTGTGTGTACATATATATATAGCCTTTGAGATATATATATATATATAGGCTCAGGTTAGAGACAAAATCCAGTCAGTAGAAAAATGTCTTAAATGTATCACCAAGCCTCATTTGGTAACAATAGTGATGTGTGACAGCACTTAATGAAATATCATATATTTTCAATTAAAATTCTATATACTGGAAGTTTACTTAAATTGTTTTCAAATCTAGAGCTCAGTGAGGCATCAGAAAATGAACTATGTGCTATTTTGAAGCATTCATGTGAACTCTCAATCATTATTTTTCATTATTAAAAAAACTACTCTTCCACAAATAGTAAATATTGAGAGAAATGAGTGTCTTATACTACATCTATTTTTATTTAAATTATTTATCTATTTCTGAAGAGTCAAAGGAAAATTAAACTTCATCAAAAGTCCTATTCATGCTTTCCAAACCAGAATTAATAGCCTGTCATTTCACTTCTGCCGTTCGTTCGATTCTGTGATTATGGAACAGCAGTTCTGTGATTTGTCTCTTCCATTGTGGGCAGCTGATTGTGTACTGCAGGTAGTTGATATGTCTGGAAGGAAAGTTATCGTCAGTGCATTGTGGAAATTGGGGGTACAGAATCCTTGCCAGTTACTATCTGAGTATCAGAAAAGGCACACAACACATCCAGCACCTCCTTTTACTTGTCACAGTTATAAAAGCAGTAGACATACACATTTTATAAGAGATCAATTAAATTCTTCAAACAATTCCTTTAGATGGAATTGGCAGACTCCAGATTATCATTATGAGATCATTCAGAAAAGGAAAGTGCTATTTTACATAAAAGTGTTTTCATTTATTTTTATTATGTGTGTGTTCTCATATATTATCAAGTTAATGGCTCTAGGAATTATTAAATTAGTAGATTTTTGTGGTGGTTTAGTCACTAAGTTGTGTCCAACTCTTGCGACCCCATGGACTGTAGCCTGCCAGGTTCCTCTGTCCATGGGGATTCTCCAGGCAAGAATGCTGGAGAAGGTTGTCATTTCCTTATCCAGGGGATCTTCCCAACCCAGGAATTGAACCCAGGTCTCCTGCATTGCAGGCAGATTCTGAAATGTTGCTGAGCTATGAGAGATGCCGGGATTCTTTGCCTCTGGAGGAGAGGAATTCAATCCAGAGCCAGTGATGGGCTTGATCACTCAGAGCTTTTGTGTAAAAAGTTTTATTAAAATATGAAAGAGATAGACAAAGCTTTTGACATACAAATCAGAAAGGGGCAGAAAGAGTGCCCCCCTGTTAGCCTTTAACAGTATGTTATATACCTATCAGCAGGCTGTTAATTAGAGAAAGGAAATGTCTCAAAACTCAGAGTGGCACCAGGCCCCTCATCCACAACATACACTTCGAGATAATATTGGCACAAGGTGACTCATCCCAGGCCATAGATGACTGACATAAATCTTGAAGAAAGGCAGTCTTCCAAGTAAATATATAGTTTTATTAACATAGATTAGGAGAACAAGGTATGAATAAAACATACTGGTTTGTTGAGCCTTTATCAAAGAAAGACAGAGTCTAGGGTAAATACATAGTTCATTAACATAGCTTAAGAAAACATTTCCATAAGAAAAACCCACTGGTTAGTGCAAGATTTGAGAAAAGTTAAGTTCAGGTGGAACCAGGTGTCCTCCTGGTAACACAGAATTTTAAGAGAAATCTTTTAATTTTGTATAGCAAAGGGAAAAAAATCTGACACTTGTAGTTTGTTTCCTCCTGCCACTTAAGAGAGAGAGAAAAAAAGTCTGACACTTGCAGCCTATTTCCTCTGTTTGAAGACCCCTTGCCTTCATGTCTGTTACCCTCTCAATTCTTTACCAATTGAGCTCCAAGGGAAGCCCGGCTAAGTAGATTTTGGCATCTGCTTATTTCTCTATTTTTCAATTGCATAGTCAATTTATTTAATTGCCTCCACATTTGGAGTTTTTAAGAAATAATATCACCATTTAATTGGGTAGGTTCCATAGGCTTGGCAAAATCCATCAATATCCATTCATTATTATTTGGTCTTCATAATATTTTTGGTAAAATTGGGCTTATGTTATTTTACCAACAAAGGACCTAAAACTCAGAGAAAGTATATGACCTATTTCAAGTGTGTACTGCCTTTTTAAAAGCTGTAACTAAATAGAATTTTCCTATTTATCCTAAGATGATCTTTCTATTCTACAATATGGCTACCCATGATGATATTTCTCCATGAATTCTACAAAATAAAAGTAAAAATAAGAGCAGTTACCATTTTTCATCATTTGACTTGAGCTGTTAGTACACCAGTAGTTTGGATAACAGAGTAATCACCTAATACATGGATTATTATAATTTTTAAAATTACCAAAAATAATCTGATGGTTGTTGCTAGACACTAGTCAGCTGATATACTAGTTAAGAAACATTCACAAACAAGACTAAAGGGAAACTGAGGCTGGAATACTACTGAAGACACTTTTCTTCAACTACTTGTCACCCAACTTCTTATCTTCCTTAACTGTTATTCCAGCATCCATAATTATCTTGAACATTGACGAGGGGTAGATGAGGTTCCTTCCTGCTCCATCACAGAATGTATTTTGTCCCTACTAAGAAGTCAGATATGTCAGTAACAACTTAAACCAGCACACCTTTATTTATGCCAATGCATTCTGACATATGGCCTTCGGTGGTGGCTCTGTAGTAAAGAATCGACCTGCCAAGCAGGAGATGGGGGTTTGATCGCTGGGTCAGGAAGATCCCCAGGAGAAGGAAAAGACTGAGAAATCCCATGGAAAGAGGAGCCTGGCAGGCTAAAGTTCATGGGGTCAAAAAAGAGTTGGGCACAACTTAGTGGTTAAACAACAAACAATATTTTGGTGTATATTATCTCATTTAATCCAAAGAAAATCTTTGTGAAATAAGTGAAGATAAAAACCACATTTGGGAGTGAGAGAAACCACTGAAGCTTGGCAAAGTGAAATAATTCCCTTAAGGTCTCATAGCTCATGTAAGAGGCAGGTGAAATAAATAAAAATAAATAAATAAATAAAAATAAATAATTCATTTATTTTTACTCCAAATTCAGCATTTTTGAATCACATCTGTGAGACTATATAATTTATGAACTTTCCCTGAAAATATTTTTTTGCTTCTTCTATCCTCTCAGGAGAAGCGACTAGGAGTTCATTGTCCCTGGGATATTGATTGCATGAAGGGTTTCTTTTCTCTCTCAGGTGGACACAAATGGGAGGCCAAGACCTCTTATATATTTTCCTTTCCCATCAACTAAAATGGTAATATGTAGGCTCCTTTGATGAGAAAAATGCAAGCATGAGGCCAAGTGGGATAGGAAACAGATTTTGTACAGTTTGAAGCCTATACGACTTGAGTGGCTCTTCTTAAGAAAAATAATTCAAAATTACAGATACAAATTAGATATTCAAGCAAATGTTTGTTTAAAACAGGAAGTCTCAAACATATCACAAATTAAAAAAAAAAAACTTGACAAACTATAATATGCAGAAAACTAACATATCATTAGTATTAATTAACTCATGTCTAAAATACTAGTTCCCTACATTCTCTGGCTGACTATCTTTTCCCTCTTCAGATGATAAGGATTTTGTCATATGATTTTCAATAAAGAAAGAAAAAAGTGATTGTGAATCTCCTGGAATGTTTTTTTTTCTTTTTCTCCCCACTCACAAACTTGGGAGCCAAACCTCACAGAGCACATTCATAATGAAATATGCCCTCTGGCCTCCATCTTGGATGAGTGGGCACAGTAGGTAGGATGACCCTTCTACATCAGAAGAGTTTAAAGTCTAGTCAGTGCTCGATAAAGGAGGAGCTCAGAAACAGTAGCTTAGAAAACCTTGCAGGTAACCATTTAACCTGAACTGGTGGTTCAGAATTGCAAAATGCTCCTGGTGCCAAATCATAAGAGATGCACTAGTGTATATGGTTCCTTCCAGCTTGAGAAAGTGAGACAAAGGGAAGGTTTTTCCTACAGATGTTGAGCAAAAAGTAGTCTGATCTTTGATTAGTCTGCCTTTTCATCTAATTCACTCAACAGATGCAAGTGTGCATGCAAGCACACGGGGCCTTCAAATACTAGGTAGTATGCTAAACTAAACACTGGAGACATAATCCCATCTAGGGTTTCCCAGGTGGTGCTAGTGGTAAAGAACCCACCTGCCAATGAAAGGGACATAAGAAATGGGGGTTTGATTCCTGGGTCTGGAAGATCCCCTGGAGAAGGGCATGGCAATCCACTCTGATATTCTTGCCTGGAGAATCCCATGGACAGAGGAACCTGACAGGCTACAATCCATAGGGTCACTGAGTTGGACATACCTGAAGCAACTTAGCCCACAAGCACGCTATTTTAGAGTTTATCCTTCACTCTGAGCAGACTGGAATATGTAGGGAATTTCTATTCCCAGGTGGATAGAAGATCCTGGGGTGGAAACAAGTGAGTTCCCTGGGAAAACCTGAACAATTGTTCTTTCAGTAATTTTAAGAAATTCTTGCCTCTCGACT